TGGTCTGACTCTTAATCCCAAAACTTTGGAAAGATGAAGCATTATGTAAGGATCAGATCCTAAGAAAGACCTACATACCTAGAATACTAGTGTGGCTTCAAAATGCTTTCTGAAGCACCAGCCACCACAGAAGAAAATGCAATGCCTAATTCAGTGCTGCACAAATCCTCCAAAGTTGTAATCACTTTCCATTGCACTTGCTAACAGCTAAAGGCAGAAAAGGTTAAGAGACTGATAATACTTACTTTTTGAAACTAAAACGATTAGTTTTGCAGCAGGCCACAGAAAAAACAACAAGATATCTCCTGAATTGAACAAGCTGGGTGTGCCCACAACAGCAGCACACGCTTTGATAAGCCACACTATATACAAAGAGCTAAATTCTGTCTAAACAGCCATAAGTCACTCTAAAAGAAATGCCTCATCCTAGGATATCATCTCAGCTATTCTAAAGCCTTTCCCATTTAAAGAAAATAATATTTATAAGAATTACCTCTCTTCTCCACAAACACATGAATCTTAAACAGTAATGGTCATTTTTCCCTATTACAACCACTTTAAGAAATTCACAGGTCAGATGACAATGTGGTGCTTGGGCCCCACTTATTTAAAGAAATACAATTCAGCCTGTGATGCTTGTCAAGTTCAAGCCTTGAAATCCATGCCAGGTACAGAAACTGCAAGTTTCTAGCCTATACACAGAAACCACTGCATGAAATGTTATGGTCTGTGTTATTCAGGAGGCCAAAAAGGATTATCACAATGCTGTTTTTTAGCTGTGTTACCAAGGAGCACTGGCATATAAGCCAAGGTTCATGTCTGGAAAGCCATTCTCAAAGAACTGTTTTAAACTGGACTCCAAGCAGACCTTGAATTCTATTTCAGGAGAAGGCAGAATTGTCAATACAAGAATTTGATGTCTTTCAGCCCTTCTAGCAAACACAGTGCTTGTTTTGTGCACCCTGCCTGATTCACACAGTAAGTAGACATCCCATACCCAACCTTTACCTCTCTCTTCAAGCCAATGAACAGGCAACTGCTAAAAAAGCAGCAGTCTGTCTTACAATGTGAAAATTCAATAATTTTTCAGATTTTTTCATATAGTTGAGATAACCTGAACAGATCAGGTGTTTTCCAGTTACAAACACTTTCCCACAGCAAGACAACTTTGGATCAAGCAAACGCTATTCTCCCACTGTTTCATCCATTCAAATATTTAGCAACAGTGGGACAACAATAGATCAGACTGTTGAATACTCTTCTTTTGGCAGATGTGTAATTAGGAAGTCCCAACATGGAAGCAGATATGTGAAGCTCCAGATTACCCATTCCCAGTCTTATCTGTCCACAAAAGTGAGCCATTTACCCTCCCTGCTACTTGGCTTTCCACTGTGCAGAGCTATTTGCTATGGAATATTTGCTGGATACAGAATGAAGTTGTATTTGCTTCAAACAATGGAGTTTCTTCTATTTAGCCTTTTCTCTTAACCATTAAGTAGCCTAACAGAGAGGGAATGATGCACAAAGACCGTAAAACTAGCCACTGATCTGCAGGATACACTTCATCTTTGACACAGGGTGGCTTAATCACAGAAAATGGAACTCTGAGACTAACCACTTATACTACATGCCTTCCTAGTACAATATCTTGAACAGAAACATTTCCATTCCCTGAGGTCATGTAGCAGGGCTTAGGTGACAAATAGTTAGAACAGACAGGAGTTCTGTCACCTGCCTCTTGTGCACAACCACTCTTCTTTACATGATCCACGAGGAACCTATCTCTAGCACCCAACTGAGCAGGAGCTACAGTGCAAAACTCATTTCAAAGCTATAATGTCAAAGACATCACATCACGAAGTCAGTGTCTCTGCAATTCATTTTGGCTTGATGTAGAAAAATAATAAATACAAGTAAACAAAAAGCAATTGTGTGTTCCCTCTGAAGCGTTAATGGTATGGTTGCAACAACTCTCATCATAGCTGGGTGCCTTTCTCCACCAGAGTGGCCTACGCAAGCAATTGCGCATCCACTGAATGTTCCAGCACGTTGCTCTCTTTGGGGGGTTGTACACGTACAAAGGGGAAACGTCTCCCCTGCACGTCAGAGGAGCCAGCAGCTGCAGAGCTGTGCACGCCAAGTGGGGGATGTGGCTTCTCCTGCACTAAAGCCTCAACCAAGTCTTTACTTTGGTCCTTGGAGAAGTTATTCATGCGTACATCGGAAATCTTGGCCACAGGTATGGCTACTGACATTGCCAAGGACAGCTTGACACCACTGAAAGCAGGGCTACATGTGACCTCACAGGATTTGCTGATCCCTTGCATCATCCAGAACATCAAGATGTGCTGGAATGAGCACAATTTAATCAACACAACCACATAATTCTGAGACCTCACTTCACCACTCATCTGCTATGCTTCTCTGTTCATGACACAAACCCTGACTTCATATACAAGTGTTATCTCCATTATCTTCTAACCTACCTGTACAGTGTGGGGGACAGGATTTGTGAAACACTACGTATATAAAGATCTAGCACCTCCTCTGAAACACTAGTCAACAAAGGACTGAGAAAGGCTTGGCATCTTTACAGTCACACTTCCTTGGGAAATCTGAACAGCAAAGCAAATGGGACTTTGAATTTTATTTTTTTTAATCTTACCTTAATTTCACAGGTACACTGTTTTAGAGGAAGCTGGTAACATAAGTTCTCTCTCTTAAGTTGCTCGAGTATCTGCCATAATTTGGTGGTAGCAACTTCATATACATATGGGTACACTCATCTCTCTATTTCTTCCCTTTTGTGCCACTCCAGTCAGAAACCTGTTTTGAACATGAGCTAAAAATTAATCACCCATGGAGAAATCAGAGTAGCAAAGCACGGTAGACCTGCCTTTAACACTTGATGCTCACTCAGCCTAGTGCATATTTGGTACTGAAAATAAACTTCTCTCAGCCTAAGTTCTCAACGGCAGTACAGAAGCTGGTGACTCTCCCGAAGACCACCACACAGAAGGCAGAGAGCCTGGTGGTTAATATCTCAATTTGCTGTTACACCTAACACATGGAATACACCCTCACTTATCCAGAACTACCACATACCTGTCTCTTTGCTTGTTCAAGGCTGACCAATCAGCTAGGAAGTTATATGGCAGCACTAGATGAATTCTTGTCTTTTCACTGTCACGTTGGTAAAAATGGAGTTACCTAAATTGGAAGCTAACACAAAGGAAAGTGATGAAAAAAACAGCAAATTCTGTGACACTACAGAGTAGAAGCAAAGATTCAGACCCAGAATGAATCAACTTCAAACTGAGGTGAAAGTTTGAAAACAAGCCCATTAATTAAAAAAAAATAAGTAAGAGGGGTTGGGGGGAATGCTAGGAAAACTATATACAGCAGAAGAGAGACCCTTTTACCTAGACAAATTCAGTCCTCACACTTCAAAACTGCAGGCCAGCTCCCGATTTAACCTGAAGTTTTACATGTCACTACAAAACTCTGGAAGTGTTGGCTTTGCAGATATGCCAAACACAAAAACTTTTTTCAGTGAACTCAGTATTTTTCCACATCTACTATTGTAACTCTCCTGGCAGGCTAGGAGTAGCAAATCCTCCTTTATCTCCCTCCTTTCAGAGAGCATCTCTCTGTTTAAGCATCAGCTAACTTACATGGATCATCACGCACAATCCCCCTTGGATGCTAGATAAAGATGGAGGTGGGAGAAACACCAAAGCTGTAAGCAACAAACTGCAGGAGACAGACTGTTCTGCAGAGAGGATGTAGCAGAGGGAAAGAGGCAACTAACGAACGCACAGAAGGGGGTGCATAAAACCTTACTTGGATCGTCTCTCTGGGGAACAGCTGTTTCCTTATAAACACGTTGCTAGCTGTCCAAACAAAAAGTTCAGACATGGAATAATAATGGAGAGCACCTGAGTAGATGTGTTCAAGGCAAGAGCTCATTCACTACCCTGCCAATTGCTCCAAGTGGCAGAATTCAGAAGCTGAGGAAACATGAACCATACAGTTAACCCTGCACATGCGAGCATTATACCTAATGGCCTGCAGAAACACATCCTTCCTTTTATCCATGATGAAGTCCTCCCTAGAACTCCTTTTTCCCCAGCTGTTCCTGACACATCAGCAGAGCATGTTACTTGACAAAGGGAAAGAGAAAATAGCCTCATCAAAGCAAGGAGAAACAGCTGCAGAACCAAGAGATGAAAAACCTGAACGTGGCAGCCTTGAAGGGCTAAAAAAGTTCTACCGCTGCCCTGGCACCAACAACTTGGAAGTAAAGGGAGGTGCACCAGTAAAGTAAAAAGAGTCTTTTTACTAGTCCAGAGTACAAAACAGTCTACATTGCAGAATCGTTTTTATGCCAATACAACTGTGTCTACACAGGACTCCTGCCAGCACTGCAAGGTAGCTGTGGGCAGGGGAAGGAATATCAGCACAGCTGAGCCCTTAAATGTTCCTGGGGCAGACTGATCACAGAAGACAATTACCTGCATTGCACAACAGCTAGCAAGGACTGTATGCCACCCTTGTCCACTTCTTAAGGCTTCTGGGGATCAAACACACTCACAGCCACAAGTCTATCTAAAAGAACCTATGTCCAAAATACCACATAGCCATTAAGGGAGGAGTGAAATCAGACCATGCACACATCTCCAGGAAATGGGGCAGCTTTGGAAGGAAGGCAATGCATGGGACAGCAAAACACAGTGACTGACAATAAGGGAAACACATGTCCTGAGCCTGCAGTCTAATTACCTACAAATTTTTGTCCAACTTCAGCTGTCCTGTCATGACTTTTATACATTCTATTCAGTGCTCATCCTGGGAAACAAAATGCCTCCCAAACTCAAATGACCTGTGGAAGGAAGAAGAAGGTGAGTACAATGACACTCTCACAATCAGAAACAACAAGCAATTTCAGACAATTGCAGAAATAGTCCCCAAGTTCAGAGGAAAGATCTGATGCAGAAAGATTTATTTTACCTTTTTATTTCTTTAAGGCCATTTTGTGGCAGTCAAGCATAAACAGCCAGGAAAAAAAAAAAAAAAACAACCACACTAGCAAGCACTGCTCAGGAATAAACCCACAGTCATTATGAGAAGAGTGCAAGTTCTACTGATTAAAATCCCTCTGGGCCTAAAGAAAGGCAGCTGGCTTCTTGCATCAAAGTCCAAACCAATCGGGGACTCCACCTCGTCTGGGGTCACCCTTCTGGCTCTGCTGCTCTTTCTCCATGAACCTTTTCCTGAAGTCATCAAAAGCCTCAGCTTCGGAGTCTTCTTTCTCTGGAAATAGGTTGGGAAACTGAAAGGTTTTCCCTTGACCCTAAAAGAGAAAACAAATGGTCAAGCCTTTCTGCAACAGATACGACGCATATACTTACAATTACAATCAAAGACCATCCTGAAATTTCTGTTGGTGCAAAAGGGTACCCCTTAACTCCCAGCACCTCTTTCCAGTGCTCTCCCTGAGATACACATCTATCCCTTCCCATCAAAAACAGCTTTCTGCCTCTTCTCCTTTGTGCAGAAATTAAGATGCTGGCAACTTTCTTTATGGAATGAATGGTCAGGAGAGAGACACCTCTTCAAAGATATTGAGCCAGCTCAGATATGGTGTAGGAGTCATATAGTAAAAGCAAGATTAGCAAAATAAGCAATTTTGTTAAAGTCACACCATCAGGGAAATACATGGCAGAGCAAGCATTCATTATGTTAATACTTAGGATACAAGTAGAGGTTGTAGTTGCTTAAATCTCGTCTGGGATCAGAAAGAACAGATCTAGCAGCTGTTATTATAGGGTGTAATGTGGGAACACAGAATAACAGATATCAGAGGTCTCTTATCAACTGGAATAAAGTCTACAGTGTAAAATAATTACAGTGGGAACAATCTGTCTAATCCATCACTGATGAGATTAAAGTGATTACATCTGCATCAGTCATTCTGCCTAAAAGACAAGTCATTTTAGTGTAACATCATCATCAGATCTATGTCTCCCACTTGGAAAATAAACATTTGCTTGGTCTCTGGTTTTTATCTAACAGCAGGAAACCATTATTCTGTGGAAATGTTCTATCCCATTAACATTATCTGCTTGCTTTCTAGTGGTGTTTGCACTAAGCACAACTTCATTAAACTCAATATCAGCCCTTCCATTCCCTTGCATTCCATATGGGACTTTGCATAATGAAGCTCATAACTGATAGCTCATAATTCATAACTCTAAAATTATTCTCCAAAACACCTACAAATCCTCTCATATATTAACTTCATTGGCAGAACACTACACAGAAATCTCAACAATAGCATTTAATTGCCTCGGATGAAAACAGTTTTTTCAGATCATCTAGTCTTTACGTTTGTGCAATAAACATAACTGAATCAGAAGCACAATTGAGAAACAGCTCCACAAAGGAGATGAAATGACCTTCCACAACACAGCCATCTATACTACATTCTGGGATCAAAAATATGATATAATTAAATTAAAAAAAAACAAAAACCTGCCACCGTGTCCCTGACCCTGTTGAATGTATGTTATGTTCCATTTAGCCATATGCACTCAACAGGGTCATTTACAGGTGTGAAAGAATTTAAACCTCAAGCATACGTTTTGGAAAGAAAAACCATGACTTACCCAGTTGAACTTATCCAGACTAGAATCTAGGAAATATCAACTCATACCCAGCAATGCTCCAGTTGTTTTTCTAGTGCATACTTCTTGGGGGTTTCCTAAGAGCCTGACCATACTACAAAAACAACAAGGGAGCTGCTGTGTACATTGCTCCTTCCTAGATTCTAGCCTGGATAAGATCAACTGGAACAAATCATGGTTTTCCTTTCCACGACGTACACACGGGAGTTTCAACTCTTTTGTACCTTTCAATTACCAACAGGTATGCTTTTAATAGCTGTCCAAGACAACTGAAGCATAGTTCCATATGAGGTACAGAAATAGGTGTTATCAGTGTCCTTGAACAATCCCAAAGCTGTAGCCTACTGAAATTCTTCCTGCAGTGGGATCAGCAGCAAACACCCTTGAGGCCAAGGGCTGCCCAAGATGTTAGCAAACCGAAGCATTTGGAAAAGAATTTGTTTACAGTACAAGAAATTACTGTGTTTTAAACTGTACTGCAAGCAGGTTGCTCAGCCCCACTGTACCTATAGAACAGATAAGGTTCTGATTCTAAGGACTCATCCATCCTGGAGAGGAAGCCATTTTAGTAAAACACATTGGAAAACAATTCAGAATAACATGGCAGGCATACCACCTACACTGAAAATGTGAGAACTGTTCATACTGGTAACACTGTAGTAAGGGGTTCTTGTTATGCAGCACTTCCATTCTGGTATGCTTCCAACACCAAAGCACTTCTCTTATTGGCAAATGAAGGAAAGTTGTCCTTAAAGCATACTAACAACATTCCTGGTAATTCACTAAGCACTGCAGAACAGTTATTATTTTTAAAAGAGGGAATAAAAAATTTAAAAAGATATGCAAAGAGGGTGTAGTGAAACCAGGCAAACCTTTCAGCTGTTTATCAAAGCGCTCACAGTTCCCATTTCAAGGCTGGTGAAAGTCAAATATTGAGCTGAAAAATGTCAATCTGTATCTGGAGTCTTTTAATAAATCAAAATCAGCACAGACAAGTTGGCTCTTTCCAGCTCTTGTTTTGTGAAGAAATTCTGATTTTGGCTGGCAGCCAGACACGATTCGAAACAGCCAAGACATTACACCCTGAGAACTGAAGGTTGATAAATCTTAAGTAACAATACTATGCAGTAATACTGCACTGTAAGACTCTGCAGTGATGAAAGCTGTATGAAAAATGGCTATAGTGCATGCTCAGTAGCTAGTTTTCAAAAGAAGCCTGTATCTTGGGTATTTCAAAATCTCAAAAATACCAAGAGGCATCAGCTTACAGAATGTGTTGAGAGTCTATCCAGGCGTATTTATATTTGGTGTATCTTCAACACGGTGCCAGAGGCCACCAATGTTTCAGCTCATATGCCACTTTCTCAAAACAATGTCTACCAAAGAAATAGAGGCATCCTCATTCCTTTACGCAATCCTGCTTCAGATATACATTTTCCTTTGAAAAAGTTTTCCCTTCTATACAGCAAAGCTATACGGTAAATGAAATCCTAACCAAAATAAAGCAAACAACAGAATACTTAGTTCCTCAGAGCAAGGATTTTCCAAACTGTCAGAATGAGAACTACTGGCATATCCAACCAGGATGCAAACCTTATATTCATTCAGCATTTTACCTTTTGTAAGCCATTTAAGTGAGGTCTTCCCTTTCACTGATTTACTGAAATTCATAAACTGACATGGACTCTAAAAAAGCTAAGATCTGGTCTTCCTGTAGAACTTCTGCCAGCATGGTTACCTCAGTCGGAAGCACAGGGAAAGTGGGAGAAAGTGAGAACACCCTCCTATCTGACAGTTTTGCTAAAAGAAAACACTGTAAAAAAGACAGACACTGACAAAAAAAAAAAAAAAAAAAAAAAAAAACAGGCAATTTTGCTCAGATAATTTAGTTTGTCTTGGAATTGGATGGTGAAAAAGTTGTTTTACTGACACTGTACCAATGTGAGGTGATATCTTTGGAGTCTGTCAGGATAAGCTCTCCCTCCACATCCCCTCATATGAGGCCTTAAAATGTTAAAGAATAAATAAATAAAGCAGTGAAGTCATAGAAGCATTACAAAAGTACCTAAAAAAATAAGTCAGTGTGATGTTTTTACACGTTGGTATTCTTAATTTAGGGTCCTCCCAGAAACCTCCCTTCTTCCTAGGAATTCTGAGGTTGTACACAAGTGAGATGTGTGGTCCTCTGTTTAGATTACAGAATTGGGAAACATTCAACTTTTCTCCTGCACAAATCTAATCTTCGTTTCAGCTTTACCCCAACGTAAAACTGATTTATCTACAGAGTCTTTATTCATTCATTACATACTAACATCTTTCAAGATAACAAGCGACCTAAACATTGAAAATAGATTTTTAACTTACATTTCAAGTCTTAGTGGTTACAAAGGGTGAAAACACACCTTGCTCCCTGAGTTTGTAGAAGGAGTTACAACATCAAGTGGTACAAATTGCCCCCATTCATTTTAATGGGAGGTTAAGTGACCATAATTAGGCCTATGAAGTCAAGTGTTAGCCTTTCCACTGCTGAGCCTCATGTCAGAAAATTGCTGGAAGGATTATCCAGCACAAACTCACTTGTACTTTTCTGACCTTTGAGTCCCTTCAAAAGTTTAGGAAAAGGAGGTCAACAAAGATATTATTATGTAGGAATGACGCAGCAAACACTGCTCATGTAAACAACTGTGAGGTCTTCTGAAGCACTTACTACTGTCCTTCAGAATTAGTAGAAAAGTGATGTTTATAGTATCATTAACTAAAAAAATGTTGGACTCCCAACAGCACGGGACTCAGTCCAGCAGTAGCAGCAAATGCAGTTAAGTTTAATAATCCAGTGCATTTCAACAATTCTCCTACTATTGCACATGGTAACATCCTGATATTAAAATGTATGGAAAAAACAGCACGCAGAAACAGCTTCAAAGCCCACACAGGAATAGTACAGCTAACAGTGCTTCCAAGTTTCCTCTGAATTCATTACATGTCACATCTGATGTGCAAATGGGTTAATTACTAAGAATGTACTGGACACAGTAGGCAGGGTCTAAGGAGAAAGCATTTGCAAAAATGTTCCCACCGGTGCCATCATTCATGTAGCTAAATAGGTGTTAGTCCTAATGTTGACAAGGTCAGACTCCTTTTTACAGCCATCTCCATTAGATTTCTCAAAACAGGTTTAATTAAAAATAGGTCTGGATTCCAGAGGCTTGTCTACAGTTGGGCTCCCACGGGTGCTAACACCTGCTGAGCTAAACAGTGAGAACAGTGAAGGAGGAGGAGGGGATGTTGTTGTTTTTTTTTAATTTCCATGATGTTGATGTAACTGTAAAGTTTACCAGTGGCTTCTTTTTTTTTTTTTTCTCTTAGTTCCTTTAAGTAACATTAGGATAGTTATAATTTCATCACATAAAAGGTTGTTGCTTTAGTTATTTGGCAAACACAGATAGATTTCATTTCTGTTAAAAAAAATAAATTAGCATTAAAAAGTAGGATTTGATAGCAAAAGCAAAAATCTCCAACTTAAACCTTTCTCACCACATTCCAGAAGGGAAAAAAAGGCAGGCAGAGTCTGGAATGGCAAGATATTGTTGATCCACAGCCTTCTATGATTTGAGGTATTTTTTTAGTGTGAAAATATTATGCTTGGACTGATATGTATTTGTCCAGTTACAGCCTGAGAATAAAGTAAACAGCTCTGAATCTCCAAGAAATAGTATTTGGAAAAGAAAGGACAACAATTCTTACATGTGGAGCAGCTGGGGCACTATTGTGACACTTAAGGGTGTATCAACTATGACTTTCCACCTTTGAGACATTTGCAGTAAGTTAATGGATATGCACATTGTGCTGGAACACATAAGATCATGTTTTATGAAGCGAACAAGCAAAAGCAGTCATGAGAAATATGCTCCATTTCATTCAGGTAAACCATGCAAGAGCTGCTAGGAAATCTCACTGGGAAGTGCAATACTTCCACCTAGTGGGCAACACGAAGACCAACCCAAGTCCTTCCAAAAACAAGTTATTTTTCCAGTCATAAGCAGTTTTAACTTGAAACTGGATTAATGAGAGAAAACACAGCTGGTAAAAATGGTGGGAAAGCCCTGCTACTCTGACTCACTGCAGATGCAAAATAATTCTCATTAAAAAAGGATTTTACAGTGGTTACCACACTTTTCTAAATTAGGCAGATACTAACAATGGACTGCATAGGGCCTGTTTTGGCCTGAATCATACTGTGAATGAGAATAAAGGCAAAACCTTCCATTTCAGAAACAACGCTGGCTTCCTGGCCTCACCCAGCATTTAAAGCTGGTGTGAACACAGAACTGGGAGCTCACTGTCTGAGACACCAGAAATAGTGATGAAAAGCAAACAAATGGAAAAAAAAAAAAAAAGGAATAAAAAGACAAACCTAAAGATTAGAATTCACAGACAACGACAACAGAAGAAAAAACAGCAAAGAGCCCAGGAATGAGGTGAAGGGAGAGCATGCAGACATTTACTTAAAGGGTCAGTTTCCTCACCTAGGATGCTGCACAACAAAAACTTAAAGGTGAATCCCTAACTCCATTCATGGCACAGGTGAAAACACAGCATTCTATACAAACTTAGAATGATACCGTTGGATACCAAGGGCTACTTTTTCAGGAACCAGGAACGCTTCTCAGCCATACTACCACAGAGTCTGCACAGGGCAATTTGCCCAGCAGACAAAATAGGGGCTAGAGAGCAATTCCCAGCACTATTGGTATACAACTGCTTCCAGTACTACACCACGTAATTCCCCATCACACTGCAGTTATGCATACGGTGATGACAACCATTCTGATCTCAGAAATTTAACCTGAAATGAATGCACATGGGAACTGTCTTAAATGAGTGGCTTTCCACAGAAATACAACATTTTGCTTTCCATTCTTTCCCCCTGAATTTGTCTGTGGGTTGCAGACTACGCCAGTTCTTGATTGTGCAGACACAGAAACAAGACTGTATTTAAACACAGACAAGTAAAATTGGAGAACTAAGGTTCACTAGAGATGCACATCTGCTTCAGTTTTAGGAAACAAGACTCCAAAAGCACAGCCATCACCACCAAGAAGCTGTGACAATAGAAAGTGCCTCCAATTACCTACTAAGGAGCATCATCCACAGAAAGTAGCTCGTAAGACAAAATTACTCCTGACATTCAATTCCTCAGCCGTGTTCTTAATATATTAGTCATACCTAATCTCTTGCAGACAAAAACTTTGCACAGACAATAGCCTTCCCTCCGAGAGGGAGAATCTGTCCAACAAATCAGAGACTCTTTCTTGAAAAAGGCACGTTTTCTTTGTCATCAAAACACAAGCCTTCATCCAGAGGTGTTTGCCTTCAACTCCACCACAGTAAATGAAGGTTGGTCCTCATATAAACATAAAACTGTTACTTTCTACTAACGCTGCATTTCATGCTGTTCTTTTATAGATAAGGGCTGCCTACAAATAACAGAATTCTCAATGTTCCTTTCACATTCCTTCTTAAAAGGGGCTCAAAGGAAAACTTCTAAGACCACGTCAAGTCTGAACAATTAAAAAATAAATATTGTTATTTCCCATTGTCCGTGCATCTTTCATTTCATTACAAGTCTGCGTGAATTCTTACACAATCTTTAAACTGTAAGACCACGCAATGCTCCCCCACACTAACTCAGTGTCCCAGGACAGAGTAATATTGAGGTTGTGTTGCCAACAACAACTTTGAACTTATGGTTTTACAACCATAAATAGCATTCCTTTAATGTAATTTTGGTATGTGAAAGGTTTTTCTTTCATGGGAGGCATTTCTTTTTTCCTTGTAGCCAGGTAAGCCCAAGAGAAATCTGAACTACAATGCGCTCCTGTTACGAAAGAAACTCATAAGAACATGAAGCTCCTTTTCCACTGGGCAACCAACATACGTTTTAGAACCCACTTTAGCCACAAAGCACACTTACTAGACATGACTAAAAGCTCCTCAGGGAATATGCTTTAGTCTTCTCTGAGATCCAAAGAGCTTTAATAAAAAGTTCCCCATCCTTACAATATATTCTTTTACTTACTGGACATTTCAGCAATCAACCACACAAGTCATGAACTTTCCAGAGTACAGGGTCAGTATGAAACTCACTGGCAAAGCAGCACTGTATGACATCAGGCCATAACTTACATAGAAGCCTCAGACAAAAATGAGACTTGAGAACTAAAATTTTGTTTGAATTTGTTTTTCAACTAAGTCATCAAATGTCTTTATACATTCTGGAACACATTAAGAAAAAAAACACATCTACATTAGAGGATTGGAAGAAATAGCCAGCCAACTGGACAATTCACTAAGCATTACTTCCAGCTTGGCTGATTAGCAGCTCCTTCTTCTATCCCTTCAAGCATCCATGTTAACTCACCAGCTGTACGTAGGCGACCTTGTAATCTGGCTTCTTCACTCTCTGATTCTTATGGTTTCTCTTGTTGTTTGCACCTGCAGAATAGAAGCCCATCTGTAACTACACAGGACTTCCAAGTACCCGAAAGCAAGAGCAGGCTGAAGGGGGAGGACTTCACCAATCTTGATTTTTTAAGATTCCTCTTATTCCTTCAATATCAACATACATACTCCACAGTAGTATCTTAATTACTAGAATGTACTGAAGCTGGTAAACACTGCTCACATGTAAGGAGAGGAGACCAGACTGAAACTGCTGACATGCTTTCATGGTCACAACACAAATTTTGCAAAGCAGAAAAGTGGAAATTCTTCTAAGTAGAGGGCCAGGAGAAACAAACTGCCCTCCCAATATTAACAGCTTCAGTCAAATAATGAGGAAATGACCACTGAGCAGCTTCAGACTGGTCAATTTTTACTGCTCAGCTAATGAGAATAATCTATTGTCAAACAAATCAGACAAATTACACTCCATACCCAAAAAAACCCAACAAAACAAAATAAAGCATTTTCACTTTATGCAAGTTGTGTTCAGAAGTTCATTTTACTCCCTGCATATAAGAGAATTAAAGCTCTTGAATTATGAGACAACTAAACCTCTCCTCTTCTATCCTTGACTATACACATATTAAAAACATAAGTAATGAGGAACAAAACAAGATTACAAGGACGAGCAAAAAGATTTTTCAGTGTTGTTGGAAATTGAATGTTTCTGGTATTAAGACTTTAGTTTTTACATAGGCACATTGCAGATGATCTTTGCTTTCCTTCTATTCTTCCAGTGTTCTGAGTTTTACAACCTTCTCTTGATGCTTTATCTTTCATTCTCCATTTTTCACTATTACAGCCCATTTTACTCCATGCCTTTTTAAAAATTGCCCCTGCTCATGGGATTAGAAACACATCAATCAATTCCTTTCCTGTCAGTGCATGAAAAAGAAGAATCCAGCCAAAGACGTTTCAGTCCATGTGATTAATTAGCTACCTGCTAATCAAAAACATGCATGACATAAAAATGGTATTCCTGACTTTGTACAGCATACAAAATGCATTAAGAGATGCTCTGCAAAAGGAAGCATTCATATGTGAATCTGATTGTACATAATCCTAGCCTAGCTCAATTGGAGAAGAGTGCACCAAGTGTGAGTTCAGCAAAACTAGGAATATTTTTTGCTGTTGTTTGTGATTTTTTTTTTTCTGTTTTTTTTGTGGGGGGGAGGGGAAGTTGTTTTTTTTGAACACTTTGTTTCTTTGTGGGGTTTTTTGTGTTCATTTGGGTTTTTTTGTTTCTTTTTTTTATTTTTTGTACAAGTGCAGTGTAGTGAAGAAACACA